GAGAAGCCGAGCGCGTGGGCGATCTTCGTGCGCGGCGATGGCGGGTGGCGAGGCGCCCGTGAAACAAATTTGCCGGCGCCAAGTTCACGGCGCCGACGATTGGGCGGCCGTCCTCCAGCGTGGCGCACGGCAACGCCCACACCCCGCCCGGCGCAGCGGCGACGTAGAGCACCATGTCGGCACTGTCAACGCCCGCAGTGCGGTGGGCGGCGGGCACTGTGAACTGGCCGCAAACGCTGTCAGCGGCAAATGCGGGCACCTTCAGCGGCCCCTCCAGCGGCCGCACCAGCAGTCGCTCCGCGTGCAGCTTGACGGCGGCAGGGACGACGCCCCCGACGAGCGCATTCCTCTGCTGGGACGACAGCGCATCACTTCTGCAGTCGGCGGAGTTGTCGCCCAGCAGATTCGGCTTGGAACCCCTCGAAAAGCCGCAGTACTTCCTGTTGGTCTCCTTCAGGTCCTCCGTCGACACCGCGATGCGGATCGGCGCCCAGCGCCCCGTCAGGACAACGTACTCCCCCGACTGGGCGTCTCCCGGCGCAGGGACGGACTTCACCACCACAGCGGCAGACTTCAACCTGCCAATGCCGCGCACCACCGCGTCGGAGGTGCAGGGGTACGCCAGCGAGGCGGCACGGCAGCCGCCGCCACAACACACCGCCGCCGCCACCGCCATCACCACCAGCAGCCGCGCACACTGCGACGGGGCACGGGAAAATTGCAGCATGGCGTGTGCGTAAAAAGAAACGCTTCTTCACCTGTTCAAGCAACGAGCGCCTGACAACTTGGACAGGAGAAAGAGGAGGGGAGAGAGAGACAGTCAAACAGGAGGTGCCGGCGCATGCGGAGAGGAAACGTCAGCGGCTGAGGCTGTGAAACGGGCACACACCACCCAAACCACACAAACACAAGCGAAGAAATTTAACAAAAACAAACCCGTGAAGTGAAGCCGAAGCGTGGGGGCGCGTCCACCGAGCAGTGGGGACGCGCAGCAACACGTGGGACAACCAGCACACACTCCATCTCTCTCTCTCTGTTCCCGCACAGCCCAATCCAGGAAGAGAGAGAAAAAGAGGTGTCGCCCACTGAAAGCAATGGAAACAAACAAACGAAAGAAAAGGATAAAAACAGTTACGGTGCTGTACCCATGCGGCCAAGCAGGACGGCAGCGGCTCGTCGGGTGCAAAAGAGGAAGAGCGCCGACGGGCCTGCATGAGTGGAGTTGTGTATATATACGAGCACATTATGTGTGTGTGCCTCGTGGGGTGCGGTGAGAGCGAGAGAGTCCGTGCAGGGAAACAAAAAGAACGTGAAAGAAACAAGGAAGGGCGAGCTGTGTGCGCACGCCCTCTTTCCTTCTCCCTCTCACTCTGTCTCTCACGCGACCAGCACCGCAGCGGCGGCCGCACTCGCAAGCAGAAGAAGCAGCGCAAGGGGGGAGGCGGAGTGCGACGCCGCGGTGCCGCTGCTGCCGTCGCTGTCGCCGGAAGCCGCCTTCGCTGCACTCGTCGAGTTGGTGGTGGTGGTCGACGCATGAGGAGCCTCCCCCGCTGCCGGCTGAGTGGCTTCTCCTCTCTCACCACTCCTTTCCGTTTCCTGATTGGAGGTGGTGACTGTGGGCTGCTCCTGTTCTCGCTGACCAGCTTCGTTTGTCCCCACGGAACTCGCCGGCTGCGGCTGCACCGCGGTGCTGCTGCTGCCACCGCCAGTCGTCGTCGCTGGGCGACTGACCTCAGTGGCGGTGTCCTCTGCTGTGGGCGGCGGCTCCTTGTCGCTGCTCGTCGGTGTGCCAGCGGCAGCTACACCTTGCTGTTGGGCTCCTGGGGCCGCCGCGGCGGCAGGCCCTGCAGAATCTTCGACAATCGCCTCAGCCTCCTTTCCAGCCTGTCCGCCTGAAGTCCCACCGCCGCCCGAAGGGGCAGTGGGTTGAGCTGCATCCACTGCCCTTCCACCCGGTGTATTACTTGGGTCAGCTGGGGCCGGCACAGCTTCCTTGGGCTTAGCTTTCTCGTCACCGCCGTCAGCTTTATTATCACTGGGCACACTCTCCTTGACACCATTTTCCTTCGAAGGAGCCCTCCCCAATGCCATCTCCTTCCCTGCTTCCCCTGGCACTTCAGTTGGCGCTGGCGTTGGCGGCTTTGGTGGTGTCGGCGGTGCCTCTGGTTGCCCTGCAGTCGGTGCCGATGGCAATACGGCACCGGGCCCTAGAGTGCCTTTGCCATCCTGTCCATTGGCTTCTTGCGCCTGACTGCTGGCAGCACCACCCGGTTGCGGAGGCGCTGCAGCACCGTGACCCGTCCCGGCACGTGAGCCACCACCCTGATCATCACCAACGGCAGCTTGGCGCCGCAACTCCGCACCACACGAAACGCCCTTCTCAAGCTCAGTGGCATTCTTCATGGCTCGCGCCACAAACTCCGTCTCATTGCCACAGAACTCCTGCAGAAGTTCAGTGTAACATTTATCGGGGCCAGCCGCCTTCAAAAACTTCCACTGCGCATCGTTGCAGTAGCCCTCCCCCCACGCCCAGCCCCCGCCGGCGGCGCAGCACAACGCGCAGAGGACGCACACCAACAGCAGCGCACGGCCGGCCATTGCCACTCCTCCCACCGCAGCACACACGCACGCACAGCGTCTAGCGAGGGGCAGAAAAAGAGAGAGAAAAAAAGGACAAGCACACACACAGATATAAGCAGCCCGCGGAATGGGTGCATTCAACCAACACGCACAAACAGAGAAAGAAGTAACAGCCGAGGCATTGCCGTCCCGTTAAGGGGAAAAAAGCAGCAAAGGGAGGAGACGGTTTTGTGCACGTTCCTCCGCATGTGCCCTCTCGATAGACAGGCAGCAGCAAACCGCACACCGCAGCGGGGCTCAAGGGCCCTT